TATGCAAATATATTCACATTCATACTTAATATACTAACTTCAGTGACAGCAATACGTACATAACTGTGTTCATGGAAAATATAGATATATGTATATCATTCATGAAAGCAGTTACTATCATTTGTGGTAAGTATACGAAAACATATGAACAGGATTTTAGTAATATTTGCTGCATTTTTCATATTATTTGAGCTATGAAATGCCTCAAAAAATTTCCAATGTTCGAAACAGTTGGCTGTCCTACATCAATTGAAAAGAACGGACTCTGAGAATGGTGTAAAAGAGGAAAGGATGATCACCTCGCTTACTGTCAGTGACTCAGAAATCAGGGCCTGTATTCACAAAACCGTTCTCATGCTCAAATTCAACTTTTGTGCTCATGAACGTACTCAAAATTCGTATTCATCAAACTTTTTGAGAAATTTGAATTTTGAGTACAAAACCTTGAGTTTGAGCATGAGAACGGTTTCGTGAATGCAGGCCCAGGTGTGATAATTTGGTAAGAACACAGCTTTTACAACATGCGAGAGCTAACGTCCGTAATAATTATTGTTATCCCAGCTTTAGGCAATTCACAAGCTAAACTGGTATTCAGCCAAAAGGAGCCTGATAGCATTGGCAATGGTAAATCATCTACATCCACATCAACATCTGCATCCATTCTCAAAATCTGTATCTTTGGAGCAAAGGTTTCAAGGCTAATGGTATTTGAGCTGCACAGATTGCAGCAGCGAAATACGTCCAGCTTCAGATCACGTGATGGCATCGCTAGTACTTTTAAGTCAATGTTTCCGAACCCTATAATTGACAAGATATAACACTAAACAACACAAAAACTTCGTATGTACTTACTACTGATGAAATGCTTCTACACTTCCAGAAGGTATTTATTAACGAATTACTGATGAAACCTCACAAGCTCAGTTAAAGAAACCGATAGATCTGATGGTAATGTATTGGTTCCCAACACATAACGACGTTTGGTGTCGGTTCTACCTCTCTTTTCGACACGCTGAAGAAATCAGAGTAGCTTAAGTGATTGTCAAGGGATTCAAGGCAGATGACTATATCTGTTCAAAATATTGTAGACTTGGATGGAACAAATATGAATAAGGCGATCATTGCTAAGTTGGATTCCCATATTAAAGCAGAGGCTTCAAGTCAAAAAGAAATTATCAGGAGATTGGATCATGAAATGTCTACATTGTGCAAAATAGCTTTGGTAAGGGTTACGAGGGGTGTGATGATGCTGTAGAACAACCTTGCTTAGACCACTACTATCTTTTCAAATACAGCGCTGCTCGCATAGCAGATTTTAAACACACATAGCTTGACTTTGATGTTGAAATTGATAATGATCCTGACATTTGCTGAAAAGTTTGGACAGAATGAGAAGACCACATTAAAGAGTACAAATTTAAAGAGAATCCATCAAGCTCTTGAATGCAATCTAGAAAAGACTCTACTTAATGCTTTTTTTTCTCGACAATGTGTTTCCTCTATTCAAAGACTTGTTGCTAGTCTTCTAGACAGCAAAAATCATGTTCTTTATGAAAAATTGAAAAAAAAAAAAATTATTAATAGGTTTAGGGAAAATCTGGTGAAGAGCTTATTATTAATCGACTACAAGATTTGTAACAAAACAGCTCATCAAGGTGAAAACAGACCAACGATCAAAGGAACTCTTATCAAGGAAAACCTGCTTCCAATATTCCACAAACCATGAAGCGTCTGCCATTTCTTTCTAACTTGAGTTGTTTGTATTTATCTCAGCGAGGAAAACGTCTCCGTAAATATGTGAAAGCCAACCAGGAGATGACTAGGCAGCTGGAACCAGATGTAGATGTAACTATGGTTACAGATCAAAGGAAATGTTACTAGGTATATCCTGTAGTGAAGGTAAGAACGACATTGAACGGATGGATTATTACCGGAGAGAATTATTTCCAATGAAGTCGGTAGTTGGAGCAACCAAGTACCCTCATTTAGAAAAAGTAATCAAAACTGCATTGGTCTTACCTCATGGCAATGCACACGTTGAAAGTATGCCATTGAATATAAATGTGGTTACCAAAGATGAAAACGGGGAAAGGAGACCATCGACGAGATACGTGTTGTAAAGATGCTTTCAATTTCTTTGATAGAACAGATAATCGCCCTGAACAACTTCCTTCAAATATAAACCCACTACAGATGGAAACCAAATAAATAGTGTGGAAGCCATCTACTCCGGATAGGAGCAATACCCGAGTTATTGTTACAAACAAGACAACTCACCTTTCTAACATTTACAGCAGAGGCCGGCCTTAATTCTCCAGACTACGCAACCCCTAGAATTTAAGTGTTTTAGTACAAACACACCAAATAAAAGGGGAATCAGACTTGTAAACTTTGCGATGAAATGCAAGAATCCAGCAGTCCTTGAGTTTCAACTCAGAATGCATCGGGTTTTCTTGAAATTTCAAAATTGTACATAAACTTTTATGGAGAAGTCATAGGAATCTTCATCTCAATCGGGGTAGCACACATTCATGTTGACTGGTATCGTTATAACACAGGAAAGAAAAGGTACCAAATTTGAAAATGTGAACCCGAAAACAAGCCGTCTGTTACCACTATTCTCACGGTTAAGTTACACCAGAGACATCTAAGTGGTAACTGAATACAACGTAAAGACAGCGACAAGTTGTAGGAAACCCTTAAATGAATCGCCATTTATCCCAAATTTTTGCCATCTGTATTTATACTCTACACCTAATATAATACTTTTTAATATACTAAATAAAAAAAGAAAGGTAACACTACTTTATTCTGTGATTAATTAATTAACCCATTCATAAATCCTTACCAATCATGTACGAATAAAGTAATTGATCAATTCTGATAAAACTGCAGTCATGGTTCATTATAAAACTTTGCATTCAGTTGATTTTATTCGACTGTAAAGGACGTTGGGGTCAATTTCAAAGGTAACACCATTAGTAACGGGTATGGCCACCTTTTGCGAAGTAAACAGCATTGCAGCGTCGTCGCATGGAACTCGTAAACCGGCGGATTATTCGAGGAGAGATGTTGTTCCATTCAGCGATCAAGGCTTGGGCCAGCTCCTGCAAGTTTGACGGCTGATTTTGACGTTCTCTCACGCGTCGCCCAAGAACGTCCCAGACATGCTCAATCGGTGACAAATCAGGTGATTTAGATGGCCAATCTAACACCTGTACGTTATTCTGCTGCAAGAAAGTTCTGCTGACGCGACTGGTGTTGAAAAATGGCGCCAACGCCATGGCATCTTAAGAATGGAAGAACCACTGGTCTTAAAATTTCGTCTCGATATCGAATGCCGGTTAAATTGCCATTTAACACAACAAGCCTGGTACGAGTCCCCCTCAAAATACCACCCCAAACCATTACACATCCGCCGCCAAAGCGGTCCCGTTCTGCGACGCAGCAGTTCGCAAAACGCTCCCCTCGTCGCCTCCACACTTTGCGCCTTCCGTCACCGTGTTGCAGACAAAACCTGGACTCATCTGAAAATAGAACATTGTTCCATTGTCGTTTGGCCCAACGACGGTGAACACGGGTCCAGTTACGCCGATTATTACGGTGACGTCGCGACAAATTGGGTCCAGTGTAGGGACGCCGCGCTTTCAATTGGTAGGCCCTCAACCTGTTGCGGACTGTTTGGGGAGACACACGACGCCCAAACAATGTAGTCTCTACTGCGGTTACGAATCGATTGCGCAAGTGTATCAATTGTATACGACGGTCATCCCTGGCGGTCGTTTTATGGGGTCGGCCGCATCGGGGACGATCGGATGTTGACCCAGTTTGGTTTAAACGACTTACCAACTGGCAAATTGTCTTAACACTGCAACCAAAATGCCGTGCAACTCGACGACGAGACTCCCAAGCCTGGATAATGCCTACAGCCCTTTCTCTCTGTACCTGTGACAGCCGGGGCATAATGATAAAGTTGATAGATAGCAAGATTCGCTGATTTCTAAGTCCTAATGATCTAAGGAACAGTTGTCAGTTTGAATGTTTATGAAATTCAAGCGAAGATACAAGTTAGTCGCAGAAAACCTCGTGCAGCTCTTTCGCTAATACAGACTTTCACGCTTGAATGATTTTGGTAACCCCCTTGGATTTTGTAATGTAAACCATTACCATTTTCTAATATTGCACAAATGTCATTTTGTTTTCACTCATTTAGAGGTATTCGCCAAGGAAACATGTTAACCTTTCTTGTTTTGTTGAGTATATATGTATTAGAAGCCTGGTTATCTAAAGTCCGATATCACTAACAGCTGTCCGTATGTAATTGTCATATCTGTGAAAGGACTCAGCAGGGATAAAATAAATCTTTTTATTTTTACCAGGAAAGTGTTTTAGAAGATATAATGAAGGTACTTTGTGTTTCTTGCCCCGCAGAATCCATCTATTGACCGCAAATCGCAACAGAGTAAGAAGTATGTGAGAACGAAACAGCTGTATGATTTACTCTTTTGGACCTCGCAAAATTATTAAAATTTACGTGAGTGTCTTTTGTACAATCTTTGAGATAGCAGATTGTAGTCAATGCTGGCGGACTTTACGTCCCCGAATTTTGCCTAACCTGTATGCCAAGTTTTAATTAGTTCGATTAGGGGAACGGTTCCGATTATTCACATGTACTTGTGATATAAGACAATTACGAAATCTACTTTATCGTGAGGCTAAGTAATTTCTTCGTCTAGATTTTGACTTTTTCTTTCGATCATTTTAGATTTTCGTCAGTCGCCCCCTCCTCTTCAAAAGTTCGGACAATAACATCACTGAAGAGTCCTAGAAGAACAAAGCAGCTGTATGATCTGTATGATGCGGTTAATTTTGTGCAATTTGTTAACATCTGTACAGATATTAAATTCTATTACTGAATTATGAAACATATAACATGACAATCATTTTATTGATAATAAAGTCATAACCCAAAACCCCGATTAGATGTAAAGAAGGAAATTTCATCCAAACAGGCAGTCGAAGAATGAGCAGGGGGCACCTATCGATAGGTCCATGGAGTGGCATGCCACTTCCGTTGTGGCGGCATCTGTCAGAGTAGCCCTGATCTGATAATCGCCCTGTATGATAAGAAATGACATTATGTGCTGTTGAAGTACATGACATGATGCTTCCCAAGGCATATATTTAGAACTTATCTTTATCCGAACGTATTTTGATTATCTATTCATGACACAATTGTTCTCATAACTGGATGACATCAACAGTAGGTCAAGTTGGATATAAAACAAACCTTATACAATGTAATTTATTAAAGCGTTTTTCGTCACTCTATTGATAATATTTCATCATTTGATTGAATACAAGACAAGTATTGCTACCTTAAGAAATTTCAAATTTATGTTGCCTTAAGGCATCTGCTGATTTTCTCTGATAGAAGAAAAATGTTTGACTGAAATGTCACTTTCCTTACCTAGCTACTGCCTTTGTTTGAACGCAAAATGAAGGCAGACGGTCTAAAACGACCGCTTTGTTTCAAATGATTAAAAGCTGATATCAAAGTATCATTAAAACCAAACAATAGCAAGTATATATTATTTTCTTCAATTGCAACACAATTCTTAGTTGCTTCATTTGCAGAAGCATCTCATTGTGGAAGCATTCATACAGCAGAAACAATATGACAATGCCTATTTAGTTATTAACTCAAGAGTCATTGATCTTAAAGGAAGAAATATATCTAAACAAATAAAGGGATTTCAAATATCAGTTTGTTATCTCATATAAACATATATAATCATATAATTGATAAAAATCAGAGCGTGATAAAAATAAATTCACTTAAATACAAGAAGTCATACTTTGATCGTACTTACCGACGCCAACCAGCTCCATACTCCAGATAACTCTGGGATCTGGAAATGTCCATGGTGAAGTGTGTAGTGGCCAGCTTGAATTGGACATGTGCAAGGTAGGCCCTCTGCAGCTAATTGCACAGGACAGTCGACGGCGCCGTTTTTCACGAAAGTCGAGCTCAACAATGAGCACACGTCGGGATAGGTACTGGAAACGCAAGTATAACGTATCAAAGCAAATATGCGAAATACACCAAATTAAATAAGAAACCAACCACGGGATTTTATCATACAGCAAATTTATATAGCATCCGCCTGCCAATCTCAACAACCAGTTGTTGTTCTTCCAAGAAAAATAGAGTGGAATCAAAACTTCTTCGTTTCAAAATAGATACATGCTTAACTACAGTCCAAGTAAACAATACAATGTAAATTTCATAGGCAGACGCATACCAGAAATAATTCTATACCCTCAAATACCTCATATTGTATTTAACAAATGACCTGATTTATGGAGATGAGAGTAAATATATCAATACGTTACATCTATGATTTGAAGGGTGACTGTTCATTAAGGTTTTGTTTGCTGTCTACTAATAATCACTTCAATTCATGTCATATACATTTTAAATTTTAAGAGGTGAATTATAAAGAAAATTGTCAAAGTAAACACCGGATTATGTTAGTGGCACTTCATATCAATATTTGCTGAAAAGACAGACGAATAACATCATTTTTAATATTTCTTTATCAGTAGACGATTGAACAACGCGATGCATTAATCTGTTAAAACATTCGATTACAAACTATACTTATAATACGAAGCGACATCGATGGAAATGTAACTTCCAAACACGTATTGTCAACAAAATTTACCAGCTTCCAACGTTGGAGATACAGGGAATTGGTACCCAGAGCCCAATGACTTTTCGTTTAATAGAAAGCGTCATCTTTAAGGGCCCAGTGATGTTTTTGAGGACATCCAAGTTGCCTACGATGTCAACTGGGCCGGGAACGACGACAGGGAAGGGCGAAGCGGTAGCAGCATTTACATGGACGATGTTGTTGATATTGCGTTGAGCATCGGCTGATCGAAAATTAAAAAGAAAAACATTACTTAGTAGGATTTCAGTAGAGAATCTTATTTTCTCAGTCAGTAATGATGTATTAATATTTAGTCTATTTCATATCCTTGTGATGCTTTTCATTAAACTCTGTACCACAACCAGGTAATGCATTATCTTTCATTATTGTGCATTTAATTTAGACTATAACCTTGACATAATTGCAATCGAATGCTTTTCGGTTTTGGTTCGCGTTTTCGTTTTTTGGCATGTACATGTATATTGTAACCAAAATTGGGATAAAGAATTTTTTTAAAGCTGCTTATTTTTCAAACATTGAAATATTATATGAACTCTTGTAAAATACTAGAATATAGAAAGACACCAGACGAAAACTTGTATCATTTTCTTTCGAGGAAAAGACACTCCATGATAATGAGTATGTTTCTTTAGTCTAACATTGTAAATTATAAGCTTTTGATGCACAATTATGCAAGTTTAGAAACGCTAATGTTGATTCAGGATGAAAACTGAATGTGACCTTTATAAATTTTTCATTGGAAGACTGATACAGGAGAACTCTAAGCTTTTCTTTTCACGGGTATTAATGCTTGTAGTATCGATCTGCATTCCGTATTTAGTGATATAAGCCGAAACTACCAGTGCATGATGGGAGTTGCACATGTTAGAAGTTAAAACACTCACGCTTGTTTTACAACTCCAGCACAATATTTCTAATATTAATTAATCAAATACTAAAACGTCAAAAATTAGGATCAATGCTTGACAACAATGAAAACATCAAGTTTCATAAAAATGTATCAAACTGTGATAATTACGTGCAAATATCGAAATGATAAGACATGTCCTGAGAACCTACGGTGTGTACGTATGTTATATTATTGATTTTACCATAAGCCAGAATACTGGCCACTTACTGGCCACTTCCCAATATCAACATCCAGCAAAATGATTTTCTACAGTAAACAATTATGCTAGCTGTTGACATTGGAAAATATCCAGTGTCTGCCAATATTGTGGAACTTCGCATTTCAGCAGTTAGGGGAGATTATGATAATTGGAGTATTTTGAAAATCTAGAACGACCTAAATGCTGAAAAGTTTTTTTTCCCCATATATACTTGAAAATGGCTGATTTATTTACATCTTTGCAAAATCTCATTGCATGATAATCGCTACTAAGCGAAATGGAAAAAAAAGTTACATATAGTTGTCATTTCAAACACATTGTTGTCCAATATCGTCTGATAATACAGTAATATATTTCTAATCACTTATATTTCGCGAATTTACCTCTTCAGACATATTCGCGAACGCTGATCTAGAATTGACTTTAAATTCTCGAATGATGATATATTAGTAACCTTGGCTCTACAATACTCTGATATCGGTAACCAAATCAACATGAATGCCACCCATAGTTATCTTCGCGTTTTTACGCAAAAATACATCCTACGCGAAATATAAGTAATTTACAGTAAGACAAGATTATCCACTGAATCATGCTATTACTATCATGTATTTTGAAAGTGATTGTAATTAATTTTTTCCTCATTTTGAAGAATTGCAAGATAATGTCAGGTGCTAGGTATCGCCATCCATATCAATGATCCCCTTTGTTATTGAACCTTAGTGTTCAGTGTTGCTTTATAGACTTTCCTGGTATAGTTGGAAATCACCTCATTACATTCTTGTAAGTATGTATCAAATTATAAACCTCATTTTCTCAAGATGTCGCTCTTATCAGTTTTCACATCTGTTTATACATAGTGTGAACGTCATTTGTAGTTTGCCAAACATATCAATGAGCTATTAAATTTTTATTTCTATATAAAGTTTAAGGAAAACTGATAAACAATTACACAATAGACGAGCAGGTTCAGTATTATTTATTGACAATTTTGTTTCAAAAGTGTCTTTCCCACTCGGAATTCTGTGTCTGAAATCATTTTTAGATAGACTGTTTTTAATGATACCACTTTGTCACAACGGCAGAGTACTCGTGACGTCACCTTTCGTAGACCGATTGATCCATGAGTTCCCTATACTTTTTGTCCTTCTAAGTTTAAAGAAAACACTATTTTCAATTTGCGTTTTGTCTAATCAGCGTTATGACCGAATTTTACAAACTCACATAACACTTTAAATACGATTGGGAATATACTGGCTCATGAAGATAAGCATATACTGTGCATAGAATCACCAGGCTTGAAATTGCCACGCTCAACCGCTAGACATAATTTAAACCTTGTTCATACTTTTGCTACCTAAAACTAATTATAAAAACAACACATCACTAATAGTCGTAATTCATACCCGCTCTTTACTTTATTATCTAAAACTTAAAAAAAACTGCCGAAATTTATGCATACAATATATCGTCTTTAGTGACACGGTAGCCTGAATATACTTATCAATACCTTTGACCATTATCTATTTAAATCAAATTAAAATGTAAAATTCAAAATTGATTAAAACAAATGATAATATGTAGATTACGTGTTTGCCCCATATCTCAATAAATTTCAAAGGGTGTACATATATACGGGTAAGTTTAAATCATATCCCTATGAAACAACGCGCAATTTCAGTACGAATTCTAAGACCAGTAAAGTCATTCCTTAGTTGACTAAAGAATCAAGACCAGATCATGTCTCTCACAAGCTGGTTTATACAGCTCCATTTTCAAATGGTTTAACATCATTTTCTGTCCCTTTTTACTTAGTAGAATGTTCATGTTTTACTTCATTTCATTGGTACAAATCCTTATTACGTCTCGATTTGTACAGACATCAAGTCGAACTTAATACTTTATTTATCAGAAACTTTAGCATTTCTTTTTTTTAATTGAAGAAATACCTAGTAGCATTATTTTACATGTTCATCGCCACTATTCTGAAAATAAGATTAAGAAATGTCCACGGGGTCAAAGAGTACGCAAAAGGAACACGCATAATTACATCCAATGCTATTTATATTATGATTTATAATATCATACCCCTAGAAAAGCAGGAATCATAATAGTTTACCCTAAAATCTCGAAAATAAGCTGCAGCTTATATTCTTTATTAGTCAGCAAATGTATTCTTATATATATATGAAAGAAACTATATGCTTAATTTCAGAATTGGCTTTTTTTTGAGGTCGCTCTTTTTTGGTTCACATTATACCTATATAAATGATGACTTTCAAATCAATCAGTATCGAAAAATATAAAGTTTAGTTTATTAAGTGTTTAGTGCACATCTTCATCTTGTTTTTCGCTTTGATTTTCCTTGATTTCGATCATTTGAGCTTCTGTAGTCTGATATTATTAAACAATTTAGGTCTTAAGCATTACTGACGAGTCTTAAGACGCTACTCCTTAACACACTGAATTAACTGTTGAATTTATATTGCAAGGTGCTATGGTTATTTCAATGGAACACTTATTAAGTCCGTATAATGTGACTTGGTACTGCTAAAAAGACTGCCGTTCAATACCGTCTGATTTAAGACATCTGACAAGCGTACAAGGCTGTTATTGTAACCTTGTAATGCTACACATCACATAAACACGTTCTCAGTCCATTAATAGATAACGTAGATATGTTGTCTTTAACAGGACAGGTGACATTCACAGGCTACACGTCACATGTCAAAGATCATTATTCTAACGTGTAGAAGGAATTGGCAAATATGATGGCGTTTAATAATTCAATGTTGACTGATCCGAAAAAACCTAAATAGTGTAGATATTTATCAAAGTATGTTTAACTTCATTCTTGAATACCTTTTTAAGGTCCAGTTTTAACATTTATCTTTTATATTGAATACCTGTTTCACTGCTTTTCTTCCCACTTGTTTACTCATTTACGTTTTAGTCAACACTTGCATCTTGAGTCTTTTTTTAATATTACTCGAAATTGCTTAGATATATCTTCAGCATTTATAGACATATTTTATCGACAGACTGTTAATTGACTGAAATGAATCGTTAATATCAATATCGTTGAAACTTAAAATGGAAGTCATTGCAACCAGCTACTTGAAACACTCAATAAGGCGATTAGATAAGAAATGCTTGGAATTGTGCATCGTTTGTTATCGATTTACTTTAGGAGATTAAGCACTCCTTCGTCAGAATAGTTGACAAAGTAGATATTTGATTGTACGAAATGATTATATATCTCGTAAGAAAAATGTATTCACACAAGCAAGAATATTGTTATTAAACACATTATAACCAGAAGTGAATTTATATTTTACGAAGAAAACAATTCATCAATATAATGATTAAAGTAAACTTACGCATGCAGTCACTGAATGGGAATGTTCCGGCATTACAAACACAAAGTGCACAGGCAAGAACCGTTAAAACGTTGAGGCACGACATGGCTGTTTGCGAGTTTCTCTGACAATGACCTTATCTCACCTATAATACACCTTTATAGATAGACAATAACCTGGTCAAGGTTTTCAGAGGTCACGAAGCCACTATCAGGCGACTCTTACCATTATAGATTCCATCTACTTATTTTTCTCTTGAATACTATTTTTAAACAATCAAAATTAATTCATCTTGATAATATGAAATCGTCTTTTCATTCATCTTTTGCAAGAGAATGTATTCTAAAGAATCATTATATATTCTGGTTACGTACTTCTCTCCACTGAATACGCATTTTCAACAATCAAAACTAATTCAACGTTAAACTTTTCAAGATCGTCGTATTTTCATGCACCCATCCGGGAGAAAGACGATTATACAGAATAATTCAGGAACAAGTTGACAACAGCACACATTACCGAAAATTGATAATTTTTTCCTTACAGTGTTAATGCATGAATGTTTCCTTGTATTAAGAAATATATACTGGAGTGCTACAGCAATTGAACCAAAAGTAAAACTATTCAATTTAAAATTGCCACGGTTCAGTATATATAATGGACATGACGTTATAGGATTATCAGATATATGACAATCAAGAAATTTATTGAATCATGGGGCCAGTGCACCTGTCTATATATCTCTAGAATTTTTTCTTTGGATATCTTCGAATTTCCCTCAGACGCTTCCAAGGTTTCAAAATATAGGCTCTTCGCTTCGCTAACGTGTTCTACAATGACGAAACAGCTGTATGGTGTAGGTCATTGTTTGGCTCTACTGTTTCTTAACTCTCGATTTGTATCAAAAAGATGTTATTCACTTGTGTGTCTTTTGCACAATCTTTGATGTCTGCCTTTGTCTTGATACACAGAAAAAATATAACAATTATGAACAATGAACACAATAGAATAAAATCGTGAAGACATATTAGAACAGCAGTTTCATATGTAATGTATGTTTCAACATGATATTCGGATAGTACTACTGGAATGCTGTTTGTGTTCATGTTATTTTGCTGGTTGAGATAAACACCATTTGACAGGTAGGTATGTATTACTACATGTAACACATGCGCTAGCTGGTGTGGTGAAACTACTTCTAACAACACTCATGTGTATTTTTTCTCATTACTGCAGTGACCTAGAAGCAGTGTAGATAGTAAGGAGACTTACATGCCAACATTGTGTGTAATCGTTTTTGAAATAAATGTACTGCAGTCACTGAAATTCACTTTCTATATGTTTTCAGTTGAATTTTATGTACTGTTTTGGACACTGAACAACATTAAGCTGGTTTATAAAATTACTCAGATATGAATAGAATGATGAAAAACTATATATTATCGGATAAGTTAATATCTATAGTTGAACATTAATTATTTCACGTCTTTTCATTAATTAATTGTATGTTAAAATTTCAAATAGAATATTAAACAAAATAAGCGTTACAATGATCAAAACATTTTTGATGCATGAACATTAATATGTTCAGTATATTCTTTAAGTAGGTGATTTGAAATTAAGGCTGGTAATAGTGCATTCCTTAGATCGGTTGGTTTTAAAAAAATGATCTTCCGTAACATCTCAATATCTGTTTAAGTGTTAATGGCAAAATACATTAGACTTTACTTCACTGTTTTACCGATTGTTGAATGGTGATTAAACCAAACAATAGGTAAAGAGGAAATATCAGATCTTTAATAACCCTCTTGTACATCTTAATGTTTTGGTAAAAGTGATGAAATTGACAATTACTTGAAAATATTTTTTCAATTTGTTGTTCTCGTGGTTGTAATACATATATAACAAAAACAACCAAAGACAAACGTTTTTGGGGTCATCATCATTTTATTGTGAGAAACAAATCTTGCTTGCAGAATATTATAGGAATAGAACTAAAGATAAAGAATCAAGGGTGCATTCAAATTAGTTCCGTGAAAGATCAAAGTTCACGATATAACACGCCTTCCACACGCCGGTGTTCGGATCCCTCAAACGTGCTTTTACCCAATACCGCCCCTTCAAAATATAAAACCATCCTGTTAGGTTGTAAATTTTGAATAAATAAGTAAATAAATGAATATATAAAAATGCTAACGTCATGTTATAAATACTACTTCGAAGATGAACGGTTTAGAAGTTGAATTCTCGATTGCGTGGTTAAACATATCATTATTCGCAGAACATTAACAGAACGAAAATATAAATGAAAGCATTCAGTTATTCCAAAATAAAAAAAAAATACCAACTGTAAAAGAAGCAAAACTATTGTATTCGAAATATCTGCGAACTCCTCATAACATCTCAATATGGTTTAGCTCACTTTGGGTAAAATAGGGTTTAAACATATGAAGAAGTATAAACATACATAAAGAATACGTGCTGGCTTGATGACGTCGAAGGAGGACCATGGTAGGCTGTATCTACCTCGTGCGAAGGGACACCGACAAGGTATTCTAGCATTAGAAAGCTGGGGCGGGCAGGTTGTTGTTCCGTCAACTTCCAGGAACTCCGTGTCCAGAACACCACACAAGTTGTGAGTACTGCAAGCAAGTACTATTTTTTATTAGAAATTAGGAGTAAATTCCATACGTGAAAATAACGTGAATGATATCTGGAGTGAAAAATATTATATTTCACAAATGAGGAAAACATTTCTAATATTTATAACGATTGTGTTACATCCGTGAATCATATATATATTCAATGTACACGTTCTTGTAAAACGAAGCAAAATTTGATCTATTATGGTATTTTCTTTTTGAAAGAAGTGTATGTGGGGAATGTTTTTTTGTAAAGACACAACCAGTAAAGGTCGTTTTTGCTTTTTTTGGTTATGTCACAATCGGACATATCCATGGTTCGTAATATATGTTCTTTGATTGGTATGTTCAACTCACAAAAACATTTTTTCTTAACAGAAGCAAAAAAAAAAAAAAAACAAAACAAAACAAAAACAAAATAACGGCTTTTTCCTTCAATGCATGGATGAAATGAATAACAGTTTGTGTGAAAGACCAAACCATGAAGTAAGCATATTTGAAGTCGATAAAAATAATTTATCTGATGTTTAGATATAAATAATGAGATGAACTTGCAGTAAAATAAATCTTGGAAAACAAACGGGTCTGCAAGAGAACATTTTAGGATTATAGGAAACAGAAACTATGACAAAGATAACTTTCAGTCCAAAAGCTATCACCTTCCTCGCTTTCTATATGGGTCATTTCATAAACTGAAAGTTGACTAAGGTTGTATTCCTATACACGTTAGTTCTGTGTCTCCTTTATCAGAAGAAATTGCACAAGCCTGAAAATGTCATACGATTAATAAACAAGGTTAATTTACAGCCAATCGGAAGCCGACTTTAGAGGTCAACAAACAACATACGATAGTAAACGTAACACTGTACAAGAAGAGATGCAGAAATTTAGCGGTTACGGTTTGGTTTAGAAACAAATTTTATTTGCTTTATTCAAGTAAGATATTTTTTTATATGAGTTTAGCATATAAGCTTTATTCATTTTACAGCAATAGCAAAGCAAGCAAACAGTTGTTACTTATCACTTTGTTTTTGCCCGGATGAAAGCGCTAGTGGTGTCTTCTGGTGAAAGGTAATAGATACTACTAGAGAAAACCCACATGGAGAACAGATGACCCCAGTACCTTTTTTTAATATCTACCCAAGGAATCGAAACCCGGACGTTTATATGAAAGGCGAGTGCGTTACCATTGCGCCACCCGATCTTTCCAATGTAAATTGCATGAAACTGGTCTCAGAATAAATTATTTTTTTTCGTCGAGTAAAAATGAAAAAAAAAATCATAATTTTAGAAACTTAACCTACAAAACTCTACCTATCTATAACAGAAATATTATGTCATGAGTTACTATGGTCTGATTGATGTTTTTCCAGTAAAGTATATATGCATACATTAACATGCTATTTTCATCTATGGACACATGAACTGTCATAAGGTGCGCATCTGCATTTGAATGCATTCTTTATTGGAAAAAAAGGCTTTCTTGATATTAACAATAAGGACAAAAGTTCAGAACCATTTTCAAAGCAAACACCTGTAAATTCCTGATGCCTGCTTGAGAAAATACTTGCGGTGTATTTGATAATAACATACCTCCTGATCACGGTTATCCAGACGAACCACACTTTTCTCCTGACGATCACAGACAGTTCGAGATCACTGGTGATATTTTGAAGAATATCTAAGTTCACATTCGCCAAAACACTGCCTGGGGCGACAATGCGTGATGGGCTTATTTGGGCTTCGGTTACGTGGACGACATTGTTTTGTTGATTTGCTGTTTTACAAAGGATTATCGTCATGACTTAAACATACATTACTTGACTTTCAACTGAATTATATAAAAGAATAATCAACCCCCCACCACCACCACCACCACCACCATGTAATGAATAGTAAAAAAGGCATTAACTTATTGAAAAAAAGGAAAACAAAACAAGGCCAACACGTGACACTGATATCATTTTCATGTAAAAATTATAGTGAAATACCCATTATTCATCTTACATACCATGTTAATATCAATCATATCAATTTAAATACGCGTCATATGATTCACATCCCATTTTCGTTCTCTCCTTTGTATGGATCTTAAAAAACAATGTATATGGACTAAATATCTGCCCCTTCTCTTTGAACGAAAAAATACTTACGCATGCAGTCGTCGACTGAAAATGCAGTCACAGGACACACATGCAAAACATGTAAGAAAACAAGAACCGATGCGATGTTGAAAACACAAAGAGGCATCTTTGTCCTCATGGTATTAATCTGATGTCAGACTGGGCCTTTCTCGGCTGAAAAATCATAGGTGTTTAGGTGAATTTGATTACTTCTGAAGTGAAAAATATATATAATAAATACATGTTCGCTAAAGATTTGCAAACGAGGTACATCTGTTACCTTTGATTGTATTCATAATAGAAAGCGGTTTTTTCATTCCGATCTAATAGCATTTGATCTCAATTATTTGAGATAAAACGTTATAAGTATTTCCTATCCATCCCATTTCTATAGAATCATTTCGCAGTTGATAACGTTAATGTTAATTCTGACGAGTAAGGAAGTGATGTAGTTGTAAAAGGTTTATGAACAATACAAAAAAGGGTATTGTTGTCGCTCATCAAACATTTATGTTTTATATATCGAATTTACTGAAATTGTTGTTTTTTACATTTCATCTACAGGGGAGAAACCTTATTCCATTAGGTTGTCATTACTCGATGTCTTATAAATAAATCTTACCGTCCATATATATCAATATGGAATCGACAATTTGCATTGCTATTATAAAAGTGAAGATCAGAGTTTGATTATCATCTTATTAATACTATTTCTACACGTGTGATGTTGCTAGTTTGTTGATTTCATTAATATATTAAGATCTATCTAGTTGGAACGTGTATATTTGAATATATATGCTATTCCACCGACAAGTTGGTATTTTTAACATCGAAATTTCGAATTCAAAAAGTGTTAGGAAATATGTAGTGTAATGTTTCATATCACATCGTAATAACGTTACCTTGACAACGACAACGCCATGTTTGGATGTGTTCCTGAATACATTTCTACATTCACTGTGTTTTTAAAAATTGTTCACCAAATGTTACCATAATGATTTTTTTAATAAAAGTTATGTGTAGCAAATTAAACCAGAGCAACCATGGATTCAGATTTCGCTTCATTAACAGTTGAAGGATGGATCGCCTGATTTCCGTGCTGCGATCAGAAATCACGGCTTTTATATGTCTTTAAAGTTATACCTACAAGAGAAACTCTCTTGGTACCATCAGTACAGATTTCGTTCAATTGACTTTGATGACTTTGATAGAATAAAATTCTTAGTTGATAATAAGGCATTGAATCATTCAGTACAAAGATAACTGTGCTTCTCTCCCAATCACATGTGTAGTATTGGACTTTAATACATGGAAGAGGATGAATTGAAGAGGGAGAAATAGCCAATGTTGTCAAGAGAATAGTATACGTATTTAGATACAGGTATGTGTAAACTAAATTTGATAACAAGCTGTCAAACATACTAACATATACAACATCTAACTTGTGTTGAAGTATGTGATGTCCTGTTATAAAAGACTTATCGTTATTGTTTTCTATGTCACAATCAAACATTAAATAAAAGTGTGAAAATTGAAATTTAGCATAAAAATGTGAAATGGTGAAATGGTTCATACTCTGCAGTGTATCGTTTTTCTTGTCACATTTAAGTTTAAATTTTATCAGATGTTTAAAAAGATTATTTATCTTCATTGACATTCGCCATACAAACAAAGCTATTAAACAAGTGGTTACAAATACGATGAAATCATATCAGAATATATTATATCATAACGAAAAATGAACAGATACCTATTTGTAGGGCGTTCCTCAACCCCTTATAGTCAGTACCTTCTGTTTCAGTTGCCATGCTTTTTGCATGATTTTAAATTCAAATATGTACATGATATTGAATACATGTATATGCTAAATATTAAATGAACAGTTTATAAGTCCCTTATAAAGAGCCAAATTCTGAGTGACAAAAAAAATGTCATGTAGGTTATAATTCAATATATTTAGGTAATTGTCAATGTATGATAAATTTGAGACACACAAGTTGATAGCATTTTTTCATACAGAATTAAGAACTGCATCATATGGTTCGTTCTTCTAGGACTCTCAATAATGATAGCTCTTTCTGTAACCTAGAACACGAGACGGTGGATTGATGATTTAATTTTATCTAAATCTAAATTGATATTGAAATTTGTTTTGACACTGCTGGCGGACATTCATTTCCCCGATTTGCCATTGTCTGCAAGCCACGTTTTTATTGATTCAAACATGTATTGATGTTCGTCTGATATTGTAAGAATTATGGATCCATTATATCTACTTATCTAAGTTTAGATATTTCGTTTGATCGATTTTGATGTTTCGCAGTCTTCTGAGATTCAATAATGTGTATCCTTTGCGTCAAGGACGAGTTCTACAGGAATGAAACAGCTGAAAGATACATTTCAGTTCCTTATTTGGTTCTACCGTAAGTAGTTCTTAGTATTGAAAGGTGCTATTCACTTGTATCTCTCTTTTATGCAATCTCATTACACAGCTAAACCTACCAACAAAAACGTACTATAGCTAATGAACTGAGACAGCAGCCAGATGTATATCACTCTGATTGTTTGAGGCATAACGCCAGGTCGTATTGATAAGTACGTCATCGGTATGTTTATACTGATGGTTGGTGTAAGTGAATGGGAGGTGCTAGAGTAGTAGTGAAAGGTCAAGAGGGTATTGTTTATCGGCTTCAGTTTATCTTTCTGGCCTGGTGCTGTAGAATATGTACAGTGCTGGTGTTGTTTTAACCTATTTATCACATCTGAATTTGATTAAGACAATTTACAAGGAAGTGAAGCATTTATTTTGTAAACCAAATAAAACTAGGCAATACAATGCAACTGTAAGATATTTTATATGTTTTTAATGAATAGACAAATAAAACTTATATTCTCTTGCATATCTTTTTCTGCTGATGATATAACTTACTCTAAATTATGTCTTTGCTCAAAAAATGAGTTGTGGGAGATCGTTTAATGCAACTTATTGTTTTAACATATTTTAAAACATTCATTCAGGTTTTTAACCTATTTCATTGATAAAAGGAATAAAACAATAAATTTGCTCATGAGTTATGTTAACAGAGATGACAAAAACTTCAGATAGCATTTAAATGTGTGATTTTCTATGTCAAAAGACTTATTTTCAATCATTTCTGTTCAATAATCGAATGAGTGGCACATAAATGCTGATGATATTGACCATTGTATGCGGCACACTGAAAACCAATTTCGTCTTTACATTCACAATTAACTAAAAAATAAACGCATTACTTACTTTGATTATTCCAATCGCTTCCAATAAGTCTAATGCACGAAAAGGGCGTTTATAGTATTTGACAAGAATAACTGGTGATTTCCAAATGCTGTGAGAATAAACGCCTCTGATTGATCTCTGGGAAAAGATGTATCCAAATACGTGCTAGGGTATCTCATTCAGTATAGAGAAAATGAATGGTATCTGTTTTGTCTATAGCTTATGCGTCATAGGTCACAGTTACAAAAGCATTTATCTCCCTTGAGTTTCTATGGTATAGCACACATTCGATGCAATATAGATTAGTCGCTGACTATACATTTTCAATATTTTCAAAAATTTCTTCCTCGCCATTTTCATATCCTTCGTTGATATCTAATTTATTCATGATAGTTTTCCTAAATCTAATATAACAACTAACTTATCATTACACACTAAAGAGGTCAGCCACTGAAACAGCAAAACAAAAACTGTATTTATTGCATGTGATACATTGAATATTGAAGAAAAAAAATAGACAACATAGACTAATAAAACATATTTAGACCGTCCATTTTGTAGCATTTGATTTTTATCATAAAGAAAAAAATCCAAGAAAGACAGAAAATTGCAAAAACATAGACGTACAAATGCAATGCAGTTTTAAATACAATTTCAAAATTGGACACTGTAGAGCCAAATGATGAATCAAACTTGATCATACATTACCTTAATTATAAAACCTAGGAGCGACTGAGAGGAAAATTTAAAGTGATCAGAACGAAAGAAAAAAACAAAAAACAAAAAACAAAAACTGTAGATGGGGAGGTAATGATTATAAAAGAATGTCAAGAGTGTGTGTATATTCTGAAGTATAAAAAACGCTGATAAACACGGTAGAGTTTGATTCTCCTCAGCCGCTAGTTGAGGCCCTCAGCATCATTTAAAACTCATATAAGGACCATAAAGCTGCATTATACATGGTAATTCATCTTTATTATATCAAATTCTATACTGGATAACAAAGTGATAATCGCTCGAAACGTGTTTCTTTTGTATCCTTTGAAGTGGTATGAAATATCTGCATCCTGTTCATAAATAGGAATTGCCGTTCATCCATCGGATTTCGTTTTGTATATTTCTAAATCTCTCAAATAAGCCCAGCACTAACAAATCACTGTTACGCTATATTCCACTTAGTTCATTACAACACTATCAAATCTTAATTCTATTCATCATTTTTAGTGTATACATACTTTTCAAAGACCTCACATCAAAGTTCTTCTAAGGTTAAGAACGTGTACAAGTCAAGCTTCTAGACTAAGCACGGAAGAGATAAACAAAAGGCAGCAAGTGTTCGTGTAGTTAAATACTAGTGATTGGCAAAGTATTAGTCTAGCTTATTGTGCGAGTCATATAATATGTATCTATATAGCTAGTTCACAGAAATAAATATTACAATGAGCATATCACGGTGTGTACACACAGGTTTCAACGTGAATGAATATAGTCCCTTTTTCCACTTCAGAAATTACCGATAGACACTTGGAGTGTTTCAGAAAATAAGGTTAGGATTTATTTGTAACAATTGAGCAAAATGAACATAAAGCATTAGCAACCTTTTTAATGATAATGATTGAAAAATGGCTACATTTATTATATGCCTATATAAATTTTACACCAAAATACACTTTGAATGTAATACAGAATCGGGTTATTCTTCTGAGAATCATTGAAGTTCCTACCGACACGTGTGAGGAAATATACTTTAATGTTAACCTCACTTGCCGACATTTATAGACATATGAACGCTGCATTTAGTGAAAAGAATGATTCATATCATTTCTGATAGAATCAATGGTGCGGAATGAATCTCCAGTAGTGCTGGAGATATTCGACTCGATTTTGCACCGAGAACCTTGAGCGTCTTGATAGATAAGAAATGGAATTATGTATTTATTTCGATGCAGTGACTGTAAATGGTCAACACATTAAATTGATTATCCTGTGATGACTTGGGATCTATAACAAATCATCAGATTTGTTTTATGATAAAAAGTATGCGTTATTATTATCAATCTTCGCTCTCGGCAGTTTATCATATTTGGCAATGGATAAGTATCAACAACTTGCTTGAGACAAATACCATAAATAATTTCGTGATATAACCAGACTAAAGGCAGGCTAACACATGTAAAATTAATGTTCTGTTCTGACACTTCAAAACTAGAATATCTATTATTTTGTTATTTTGTGAGTAAAAGAATACTGCTGAAAATAAGTAAATGACTAATTTCAATACATCTTTAAAATCGACATATATATATATATATATATATATATATATGTGTGTGTGTGTGTGTGTGTGTGTGTGTGTGTGTGTGTGTGTGTGTGTGTGTGTGTGTGTGTGTGTGTGTGTGTGTGTGTAATTGAAGTCGAATTGTCATTTTTTCCAGGATGGCTGTTATTGTAACTCTTCAACAATTTCTTATACAACGCTGAACATCTCCACGTTACACGTGTGTTTGGTTGAAGGAAATAACTGCTTCATGTAGAAAAAGCAATAACGATATTATCGTATCATCACTGCATGAAGATAATTCAATTTCATTTCGGGCTTACATTGAATATTTCTGAAGAAGAAAATCAATAAAAAGAATATTGATAGGTTAATGAATTACGTAGGTAAGTAAGCCAGTTAACAAATAATGGATCAAAGATACAGTGATGATATCTGACTGGTATACGACGAAACCTTTACAGTAATACCATGTGTGTCTAAGCAAATTGCAATACATGTCAAAGGTCACTCAATCAGTGTTTCCTTACCGGTTTCAGGAAATGAACCCCTACATATGGTGCAACCTGTGAAGCTGATACACGAGAATAAATCTATTCGGAATACAGACAGTACCGGTGAACTGTGTACAGTACATTTGAAATACATTTGATAAAGCATCGATGGGCTAACAAATACTGGGTTTAACAAGATAACAGAGGTTGTTAAGAAACGCTTGACATTCCCAAAAGACACACTCGACTGATACCCAAAATCACACTAAACTTGATACTCATAAACGATGCTATCAGATTAAGAGAATAGATATAATAATTATATACATTGTATAATGCACTAACCTATATTTACTTAAAAATGACTTTCATATGTGGGATATACTAGACACCATTGGATCTTCTGCAGTTTATAATTAAAAGATTTTAACGACTTCTCCTGGCTTATACGGAGAGGTATATGATTTTGAGTTTAATGCGAAAACTTTATTTTCTTTATAGTATCGCTATGATATCGTTCATTATATCGAGTTTGGGTTAGTTTACATGCAAATCACGTAGCTACATCCGGTATTATCAAGACCATTCTAATACAATTCAGCACCGGAAATGATGTTCAAAATTTTCTTAGATCACACAAACTAAATAAGGTATATTGTGTTGCTATTTGGGCTAGACGCTACAACAAAAACATAAACACATGTTTGTGATACATATAAAATGATGTTATATCTGTAGGGTCATCAAAAAATTTAATTGAAATTTTCTCTTTTATTTAGCAGGTCAATGGCATTATGCAGTGATATGAAGTCAATAGCAACGTAAACTAATAGTTCGTGGTTATACCATGTATGTAGTCTTGCCTTTAGTAGTTTTGTTACACTCAGTAGATCTGCATTATTGTGTCTTTATAATCTATATTGAGTTTTGTATGATTATTTTGGTTATGCTAGTCACGTTGAGTTCTAACCATTTCTCTCTTAAGTCATAAAGTAAACTATTACACATAAGATCGATATCATTTCGAGTCTCGTCTGAGTAGTATTTCAGTGTGAACAACCCAAGATATTTGGAACATTTATTTTAGTAAGGGTATAAAGAAAAATGAAATAAATAACTAAACAAACAAACAAAAACAAAAAATAGGTTAAATATCTCATTTATTTTAGCAATACATCTGACCCATTAAAACGTGAAAAAAAATAATCTAATATGACGAAATGTAGAACTCTGCGTTGTGACAGCCTTTCAACACGCCAGTAAATGGGTCTGTTAAACGTGCCTCAACCCAGTACTTCCCCTGCAAAATACGGAAGGAAATATATACAACATTATATAACTATTATACACAAATATCGATCTTCGAGAAAACTTGCAAATAAGCTATTGACTAGCATTGAATTTTGTAGTAGCTATAGTAATTGGAGTATATTTGGTCAATTTAATACATCGTGAATGGTATTTTCTGCGTTTCTGAACTGGTCAGATTCCAGAAAGTGATAGGCTCGTGAAAACTTTTCATGATATAAATTAAAGCAGTTAGATAGATATTACATTGATATAGTAAATAGATATAAAATTGAATAACACTAATGCTTTGACCCTAAAATGTTTCACTTTACAGGTTAAGTGAAGAGAAATCGACTTATTATAAACGTTAATTCTTCCTTGCGAACAATTGAATTATTAATAATATGTCCAATAAAATGAAATATTAAAGATAATTCTAGTAATGGGGAAAAAACTAAATCGATAGTTCAGTTTTAACATTCAAACCATTCTTGTGAGAGTATTGGACTTACATAAGGGACATCATCTGGTTTGATGAGGTCAAAGGAGGTCCATGGCAGGCTGTATCGACCTCGGCGGAAAGGACATCGACAAGGTATTCCAGCACTTGAAAGTTCGGATGGACAGTTAGTTGTTCCGTCGTCTTCCAGAAATGCAGTGTCCAAAGTTTCACACAAACTACGAGTACTACAAGTAATCATATTCGAAATGTTATCAGAGTGTCTTGACCACGGAATTTTCAAAGATTATATCAAAGTTCCTGATATAAGAATTCAAACGTAAGCAATCGATAATATTTTCCTAAAAAGATACTTTTATGGTGTTGAGGCAGTTCATATATTTATGTTTTGACACACGTGTTGTGAAATGTAATAATATTATTTACTATTATAATTATTATCATGCATTATTACAGGCTCGATATGAGAATTTATGGAGAACAAAACGAATTATCATCAATATGATCAATTAACCGGTTTACAGTGCAATATCATTAAAAAAAATCGTAGAACACGTGAAAGTGTCTCGACAAATGAAAATGCAGAATAAAAACACAAAAAATAATAAAACATATCAAAATTCTATATGACACAGTTTGTGACCTAAACTTACGCGAGTTTCATGATTAATCGTGGGTTAGAACTACTTCATTCTCACAGAAACAGCGTTTCTTTAAGGGGCTATTTGCTGTTTTTGAAGCATGTCTTACTTGATTAATCAAACGCATTGTTGATTTTAAATGCGAATATATATATATATATATATATATATATATATATATATATATATATAACACCCTATATATATATATATATATATAAATTCATTTTTATTTATAATTTACTCGCATTTCGTCAAATCAAGTTTTTTCTATATATACATATATATATAAATCTAACAGGAAATACAACTCACATTTTATTTACTTCATACGATATTTAATCTGTGCTCTAAGAAATCTCTATGTTAATAGTATACGGACGTTGGGGAATATCTCCCAAAGAAAAAAACTATTTTGCATTTTTAAAACACATTCAATAATCAAAATATAATTTTATGCCTTATAAGTGAATTTGTTTGATGTCGAAAGTAAACTTCATGTCTTTGATAAACGACCATAGCCTATGTTTTTAATGAAACTTTAATATTTATAGATTTTTCCTTCGTAGAAATAAAGTATGGACAGAAAAAACGTTATAATCCAATTACAACAGACCTCATAATGTATGCACGGGTATTCCTGCACCTTTTAAGAATGTTATGAACAGGTGAAATGATACACAATATCAAACCTTCAGAATTAAGTAACACTAATAAATAACATCGTCAGGACTCATGCTTTATCATATTTCCTCAATGTCGGTGCAATATTTACATAATTACGGTGATTTTTTTCCAAAGATAAATAAAAAACATTGTTCTCACCTTCGGTGTCCAGTTGCCCAAAACCACCATACTTTTTTCATGACATGCACAGACAGATCGAGATCACTTGTGACATTTTGTAGAATCTCGAAGTTCACCTTCGCCGAAACAACACCGGGGGCGACAAAATAGGAAGGGTCTATGGAAGCTTCACTCACATGGATAACATTGTCAGCATTGTATCTTCCATCAGCTGTTTAAAAAAACGAATACCTCATTTATATCTTATAACTTCATTTGTGTTTTTTGTAGTTTCGAATTTCCAGATATAAAAAATGCAATTATAGGCTCACGACATTGATCAATTGCGAAAACCTACGATTATCAACGAAATCAAAGTATAGCATTATAGTAATACTCACACATGCAGTCGTTGACAGAAAATGCATTCGAAGGACACACTCCCAAAACATATGCCAAAGCAAGGACTGGTACAATCGTGAAAACCGAAAGTGACATCTTCATATCCAGGGAACAAGGTATCTTGTTTCAAACTATATTTTTTTCACTTAAGAGTCTTTTTACGATCCTTGCTTCACGCTCGAAATGTTCTTTTCTGAAAGATACCATGATACCATCAATTATTAAATAAAAAAAATAAAAAGGCGATTAAGATGAATTGTTTATATTTCTATGTTAAAAGTTGAATAATAACCGCATGAACATGAACACATTGGAGTACATGAAATGGCATGTTCATTTAGTCAATATTAAATTTTCAAATTTATGTTAAAACATTTATATAGCAACTACTTACATGTGGCAGAGTCCGAGAGAGTCTGATATGGACTGGTACAAATAGATTTTATTTATAGTAAATGATTGTCCATCCTGTATGACGATATTCATTTTGAAATTGGTATTCTTAGTAACGAGCAATTTATTACAGATATAAGAAGATTATCAAACGACGTCGAGGAAATTCTTAGTTTATCACGTTCTACGAAATACACAAGTGCATTATGACAAATTTATAAGGATGTGAATCCAGTACTACCTACATATAAAATCATTGAAAGCTGGTTACACTTACCAGACAGTCCTTTACTTTCTTTCCTGGTTGACAATCGGGGAAACGAGACGTCATGTTTTAATCTTTTGATCGTGTTTTTATTGTTGGTATTTGTTTTTATGATTTTTATTTTGTTTAAAACTCAATCTCCCCTATTGCATGTCGTTATTGTTGCTGGAATGCATTGAATACATTACTAAAATTTACAACTTCGATATATGACAAACTGCACGTCGAATTTTGCCACAACGAGAGAAGTCTCAAACTTATTTCCCATTTGAGAAATAACCAATATCGATATATATCTGCATATAATAAAGTAAGAAATTACTTTTAAGGTGTTTTTTTTCTTTGTTTATTTCATCCTTACTCTAAACACGCTTATACAATAAACTAATAATGAATGGTTAAATTAGTGTTAATGTATTCATTGTGTATTAGTAATGCACGGAAAAAATTATTCGATGGGGAAGAGTTTGAGCCCACAAAAATGGATTATTTTACAGTAACTAGAATTTATCTTATCATTAGTGTTTTTCATTTCATAGTAAATTTGTGAAATTACGATGAAAACTGCAAACTGAGAAAAATTGTTCACTGGTTGAAAAGTTTTGGAGATTAATACTGTAGAAACTTCAGCGAAAGATTGAAGAAGAGACACCAATGAATATCACTTTTTAATAATTTCGTGTTATATACAGTGAAGTCAAACATTGAATCAAACTGCATCATACAGTTATTTTGTCGTTCTAGAACTCGTCAGTGATATCAAGTACTTAAATTTTGAAGCCTAGAGGGCAACTGAGGAAAATCCAAAGTGATCGAAAGAAAAGTAAAAATCTAGAAGAGAAGGCGCAGTATCGCCATATTTAAATAAAAGTCATGATTTGGTTCTCTTTTTAATGTTAATTTATTTGCAATAAAATAACCGTTTCTATTTGCACTACAATAAACGTTCTGATAACACAACCAGTAGAAGAATAGAGTCACATTTATCAGACAAATGACCGGTGTTGAGCGTACTAGAATTAACGTATGTAACGTACGTGATGGTAAGAAATCGATCAACCCTTTCGGCTGTACTATTATCCTTGTACACTGAAGTCGAAATTAGTGTGACGAGATGGTAAGAAAATTATAGACCAAATATACACAAGGTGGTAACAATGTGCTGAAGTCGATTCGGCTAAGTTTTAACAGGGACGTTAGGACCACAGACTATCGCACATCTATGACAAAGTGTTAAACAAAGCAATATGATTTTAATATTAGAATCTTATATTTTCCATTTGTTTTTATATATTTATCTTATTTACTTTCTGTAAATTCTGATCTTTTCTAATTGTTATGGAATCTTTCTATCACAATTATTTATTTACATTGCAAAATTATGAAATAAGAATATTGTTTCAAACACTTTCATTTGGTCTAACGCTTCCAACGACACGTAACAATATTGACCCCGTGACCTAGCTGTACGATTACAATGAACAAGGCGATTTTGATAAAACCAGACCTCAAAACTACATGTCATTTTCACTCAATCTCACATACAGAATACTATGCCCTATGCCCTTATCCATCTGTTGTGTTACCACGGACGTAACCATTCCAGGACATGAAGTTCAGAGACAGATAAATAAATTAATATAATACCATACATGTCAGTTCTATAATATAAATACAAATTAAATATCCCCTTGTCATGCTGCTATTGTGATTTTAGCTACGCGTCATTATGTTTTAACTTGTTCCCTAATTTTCAAATCGACTGTTCTAATGAATATTGTATTGGGAATGGTGTTTAACATGTCTGAGTGACAGAACAACACGCACGGAACTACTTTGATAATGTTTGTAGGTTCGACTTCCTTTGCATAATGTTTTCTCAGTAATTATAACTCTGAGGATTGTAGTACGTATTACCTGTGGTTTAAATAAAACCGAATCACTTGAGTAAAAACTTCCTTAATTCCTGTAAGTATTTTACTGATTCATTGATGACGTAAGAAGGAAATGCACGTGTTGTACATCATGTCTTCGGTGATTTTCAAATAAATAAATACATACATAGAAAAACACAACCTGCTGAGTTACTTGCGTTGATTTTTACGAATTTATTAATGAAACACAATATATTATGGTAATTATGTATCATGTATACAAAATGTGAAACTGATATCATCATTATCTGTTCAATTCAATATTGTGCAAAGAGGAATCTACTTCTTCACGTTTTACAAACTCTATACTTGGTTTTATTTTTGAGGTCATCAGTCTAGGCTAGATATCAAAGGTCGCCCTAATTTGTGCAAAGATATCTCTTGAAATCCTCCGCAACTTTATTTCAGAAATCGAGAAAAAGTCAGGCAGTTGACATTTCCACTAAGCCAGTTTCTGTTCCATGGAAAATGAACGTCACCTTGACGGGAAAACTTAACAAGGCCCTCGGCAACGATTCTAAACACAACGTTACCATACAGAATTTTATACTCAGTCGTTGGACCAAAGATTGATGCATTAGTAGTGTTGGATCTTGGTAAACTCACCTATATATTTCATCATAAACAATCATACAATCAAGATATATAGTCCTTCTAATAAGGCCGATTAGTCAGGAAAACAATTAAAAAAAAAAATCTAGGGCAGATTTTTTTTTGCACGCACAGAGACTCATGATAAAACACAAAGAGAAAAAGACCAGGTTTCCGGAAGTGCAAAATTTCTGTTTCATCGACGCCACCCGACATGTAAGTCAATTTTGGTCCACCAAGTAAGTAATGCTATGTTCCCAAAATAAGAACAAGGAAAGCAACAGACTTTATTTCCTCATTTTATAACAGTGAAACAGGTGAGTTAGTGTATTCTGATAAAGAAAGAGCAGATTCACTTAACAAGTTCTTTTGTTCCATTGCTAATAATAATGACGAGCATACTGTCATCCCGGATTTTCTCTCAAGTTGTCCTAATTCAATTTGAAATATTGTTTTCTCTGAAGCTGAAATAAAGGATATTCTTTTAACACTGAAGTCACAAATAGCTACCGGAAAAGATCAAATAAGTCACGGAATGCTAAAAAGTACCGCACAAAGTGTTTGTATATCCCTCTCAAGTTCCTTTTCAATTGATTTCCAAGTAGATTTAAGTTTTCAAGTCAGTGACAAACAGCTTTATCTTAAAAGGCTAATAATTTTCTATCTTCTAATTATAGACCAATATATCCTCTTAGTACAGTAGGTAAAGTGTTTGAACGAGTAACTTATAAACATGTGTATAACTTTGTCAGCAGTAACAAGCTTTTGTATAAACATCACTTAGAGTCCGGATCACTCTGCTGTTACACAATTACTAGAAGTTTATCATACTATTTGTCAATCACTAGAAAACAAACGCAAAGCAAACAAACATATATAGTATTTTTTTATATTTCAAAAGCCTTTGATAGAGTTTGGCATGATGGTATAATGAAAAAAATCAAACATATGGTTTTAAAGGCAATTCCGTTAAAAATAATTGGTTGCGCAATTATTAAGTAATCCCCCCTTTTTATTATCTTGTAATTCATAAAGACTTGCTTTCTGTTTTGGAAATAAAAAAAAATATATGATTTCTTAAATTTTAGAGCAGAACAACTTCTTTTCGCATGATAAAAATTTTAAAATTGTCATGGCAACCAAAATTTGAAAGTTTTTTTTAAGACGGTCATATTGTGTTTACTAACAACTAATCACGAAATGGAAAGTTATTTCATAAACATGTTGTAATTTCTGAACCACTCAATAAGTGTTACAAATACAATTACAGGCCTTATTGATGATACTTTTTGGTGTCGGGGTAGAAAACTCAATTTAAAAGAAAATCATTTTCAGAAGTTGTGGTTTCAGTCGTTTCTTCCCGTTTTCAATTATTTCGTTTTGTAGTGATTATAGTCGAATTTGTATTTTTCAAATACTGATATAGAAAGTGATGATATTGTTTATAAGATGACATCAACTACATCTAGCAGAAAAATATATATAATTTTTTCAACGTGTCTATTCTGTATGTATTTTAGTTAGGGTGGTTAATAAATTCAAACACAGTTGGTAATTTGGATATGTAAACATAACAGACAATGATCAGAACATATCTTAACACATTCTTTAATATGAGATCGAACACAAATTGTGCTTATTCTAGTCAATATCTGATTAAAATGTAACATATCAGTAGAATTATGTAACAGATGTCATTATTTATTTCAATGCCTGAATCGAACCCGGGACCAGTGGCTTACTAGTCTGACGCTCAACCAATCGAGTTAAAAGTTCTCTCCAGCCGAGTGGTATATTGCGGTAGTTTACCAGGGTTACAATTACGTCAAAAACCTTTGTCTTCCAATGTAGTAGTATTATTGCTGAAACATTGACGATTTTTCCAAAACCAGTTTGTTTGTACCAGATCGCAA